TTGAGATATTTCGAAGTTTAAGCGCTCGTTGAACCCCATATTACACTATAAATGTAATGCACTACCGTGTACGCGTCGAAACAAGCGAAATAGCTCGCAAATAGCAAAAATTTCGTCGATATTGACGAAGACTAGCCGACATTTCCTTCCCGTTGGAGATATTTCGACGTTTAAGCGCCCGTTGAACCCCGTCTTATACTGCAAATGTAATGCACTACCGTTTAAGCGTCGAAACAAGCAAATATTACGTATCAAATCGATCAAATTTTAAATTTAAATTTTACTAAAAAAATTTTTTTTTGTTTGTTTAGGTTTGAATTTAATCGGAAGGGAAATAAACTGAATTAATATTATTGTGTTTGTAATACTGATTTAGATTTCTAATTGATACGGTAGTTGCTGCCACCAGATATAGTTCAAGGACTATTTCAAAATATTTTATTTTAATGAATTTTTACGTTTAAAGAGTAGCGTTCACTGACGGTTAATGCAACTGGTAAACGAATTCCACTTTTCGGCTATCCTGCTATGTGCAGGGATACTGGCACGGGAGGGAATTAAAGCTGGGAACAATAAATATTTGTCCTCGTTGAACGGGTTTTTATTTGAATGAAGAATTGCTAAGGTTATTATGTATATATATTTTATTAGCTGGATATATATATTTTAGCGTTGCTGGATTAGATAGGAATGTGAGACTTTTCGTTGTTTTGTATAAATTTATTTTTACGTTTGACTTCTCCCTCTCTTTTTATTTCGCTGTAGTAGGTTGCCGTTAAAACCGAAACTCATTTCATTTACTACGATGGATGCTGTTGCCACGATTTTCTTGCCTTTTGAATTTAATAATCGAGGATGATTCTTACGATCCTATCTGTGTGGGACTCGTGTGATTTCGCAAGCCTTGCCCAAGGACGGGTAATATTTTACCAACAGTGGGAGGAGGAATGTGAAGATCGATGGGTGTTTTCGATAATCGAAACACCGTTTGCACAAGCCAACGCAGCGAACGATCCTTTGGTTAAATTTTCGAAGGGAGATTGTTCTGCTATATCTCTTTTACAATCGCATGCAATGATGGCAAGAATATCATAGAATTATGGTTGCTTTTGCGATTTTAATGTTTTTCCCTTTTTTGTTGTTCCCCTAGGCTTCGGTGATCGATGTTCGGACAATGTTTGCGGAGGCATTTCCATCAGAGGTTTCTTATTATTATTATTTTTAGATGTATTTTGTTTTTATGTACGATGTATATATATATATATATATGTCG